GACATACCCTGCAGACAGAATAAGTAAGGCTTCTAGACTGTGCTGTCCACTCAAATGCATGAATCTTCAGAGTAAAAATGGTTTTATTGTTAGTTAGTGTGTTCTTTTGATTCTCTAGAAGATACATACTACCTGTCTTTTTCTTGGATAACCTATTTGCTTTTGGAAGAACTTCTGGGATTTTCATTAATAAAATCAAGATTCTTTAATGTGCAAGAAAGAGATATAATGGTATACAACTTCACCACCTTTTAAAGTTGGAAGTTTATACTTATATATTGTAATTATGCTGTTGCTGAGTATTGAACGGTAAGCAGAGATGAATAAAAAGGTGCTTAAGTGATCCTGATGGGACCGGTGTGGTAAAAGCTTACTCTACTGTTCAGTCTATTACCGACCTTTATTACTGCACAGTGAATAATACTATATATACACACAGACACGTATAAAATATTGCACTACTAGTGACTCTGTAGCTAGGCTTTTCATGAATTTATGCATGCTCACAAAACAATTTTAAAGGCTAATATCTAAAGATTGTTAAATTGCAAGACATCTCTACCTTTTGCAAGCTGAAATTTTAGGGATCAAGTAAGAACTCAAAATCTCTATTTTTTTTTTCAGGTTTTCTTCCTTTTATGTGTTCATTTATTACCATTGAAGGCTTCCTTTATCAAAACTGTTAGTTTAATGGCTGAATTATTTAGTAGCTTGTAGTATACTCAGCAATTTTGCAGATATTCTTTAGAATTGATCTTCTAAAAAGCAGAGAAGGCAAAAAAAATTCTCAGTTTTAAAACCTTTTCAATTTAAAGTTTAAAAACGTCTCCAGATTATATTGTTTCTTGACATTTTCTCCCACCGAAAAGGAAATAGTTTAAGAAAAGTCTGAACAGCTAAAATGTGAAAGTGTCGTGGTAGTTGAAGTTAAATAAAAGGCAGTTTGACTTACAGGTGTTATAGATATATATATACCCTCTGAAAAATCTTGTTTCAAAGATGGATGTTTGCCCATTCACACAGTGTCCTGATGTACACAGAGCAGTGGGGAGACAGACCAGTACTCTTTGGAAGATACGTACCAAGATAGAGAATGTCCTTAGGAGTACTACTGTGAAAACTGTTTTGGAGTTATTTCTGTATATTTGTTTTCCATCAGAGATCTAAACTCTTTAGCTTTAGAATACAGCCTTTTGTGTGATTTCTTCTACTTTTACTAAGAGGTATGGCTCCCTGAAAAGGGGGAAGATGGACCCTATCTAATTGAGTCTAAAACGTCTGTTGTCGTGTATAGCCACTGTTGATGGTCAGGTATGGAGATGCAATTCCTGGTGGGTTCAGAATTTAATAACTAAGTTAAGTCTAATGTAACTGAAGCAGTCTTAAAATGTGTGGTGTAGATTTTCAAGCTGAATAGTATTTTTCGTCCTTTGAATCATTCAGGTTTGCTGTAGTGGAAGATAAGCTCAATTCACTTTAGCAGGAGCAAATGATCCTTCCTTCTGATTAGAGATCTGTTGCTTCTAGTCTGAGTTTTGTTCATGTGAGAACTGAGGAGAAAATGTAAAGTGTTAGAAAAGAGCATCAAAATGGGATGTGTGCGCAGCAGTGGTTTCGTTTTCTTTAAAGCTTTTTTGTTGAAGAGCTACTCAGGACTAGTAAAGCAAGGCACCGGAGATTTAAAAAAGTTAACCTTCTTAAATAAATCCTAGTCTAAAAATTATTTATGAAGCTGTATGTTTTCCTAGAATGTATGTTCTTGTTGCAAAAGATATCCTAGAGACTCGTTTCTTTATATTCTTGGTGAAAAGGCATTATCCATGAAGATAAATACCTTCTTCAGGGGAACTACAGATCGTGTTTTTACCTTAACATATTCCAGGGCCGTACTGTTTTTCATGTTTTGGAAGAAAAGTGTCTTAGAAAAGGAACACCAGCCAAAAATCCTGAGAACCTTTCTTCTGGATATTTTATTTGTTAGTTGAATGTGCAGCAAAGTGCAATAGTGTGTAGTGTAGCCATATTAGTGCTGTTCGTAGATACTCATCTTTGGCAGGACTGACTTTACAGGTACTCCGTAATATGTACATTTTGGCTTCTCATTTATTCTGTAGAAGAGAATGCTTGTTTCAGTCCAATCCTGCCCAGTAGGTTTGTAACCAGGAGTATCAGTCATGAGAATAACAGTCAGATTCTGTAGACCAAGAAGTGTCCTTTTTTGACAGAGTTATGGGAGTAAATTGCAGTAAAGCACTGCAGATTTGAAGTCTTGTATGAAAGGTGGCAGGCAGACTTAAAATCGTTTCCAAACACTTATGCATTATGTGGCCATGTTTTTACTAGGTTGTAACTTAAACTTTCAAAGCCTGGTTGTGACAACTGAATTGCTACTTTAGCTGTGTATAGCTATTTTCAAGAAGGAATGTTCTGGGGAACAAAAATGTTGCTCTGGGTAAGTTAAGCCAAGGCCTGTTTCAATGAACCAGCATGGCAGTTCTCTGTTTAAGAACAAGTATTTGCAAGGTGGGCATGCAGGTGACATCTGCCTTTTGTTACTGTTCCTGATAATCCATGCAAATTTTTCATTCTTCACAGCAGCCTTGTTGTCTGACTGAAAAATGTAAAATTTGACTTTCAGAAGTATTGAGTATGCAGTTAACAGTTCAAGTAAATGGGAGCTTAGTGTTTTGAACATTGCGCTTTGCATTTTTGTTGTCCATAATAGAGACAATGTAAAAACAAGTTAATACGTTTCAAGTAGGTCCTCCAAAATTAATGGATATTAGTGACGATTTGGGGCCTAATATTTCTTTTTTCCCTAACTCAAGCTTGGAGCTAGTCTCGTCACCATAGATATGATCTGAAGAAGAACTTGCTCATTTTTGTTCTTACATACTGCGGTGATAAATGCCTAGAGGCAGGAGAAGGGGAAATAAATTCTCTGTGCCTGGTCGGGATGGATTCTCATTAAATGCGGTACATGCCTGAACAGCTTTAAAATAATAACATACCTTATATATAATAGGCTATAATAATTTCTTCAAGTTGCATTTCTAATTTTAAAGCTTGTTCCTATGTATGTTGAACACTCTTTAATTGTGTTGGGATAATTAGCAAGTGAAATTAGGATTTCTCATCTAAAGTCATATGTTCAGGAATAAAACTGTGTGCCAGGATGTCTTGGCTGGTAATTCATGTCTGCTGGACTGTAACATCTTGGTCCTATGTTCTACATGAGCGTAGTCTCCTGTCATTACTGAAGTTGCTAGTCTGGAACGGGGCAAAGTGTTAAAAGCTATCCTTAAATTTTCAATATACAAAACTAGATCTCTTTGCATATTTCTCTAGTGTGGCAACTTAAAATTTTGTATGTCTTAAAAAGGGATGGGCAGGTTTAACTTGCATTATTTGAAAAGGTGCATTGTTCTCAGGCATGTGTGTATTGAGGAAGAGTGCCATAGCTGCTGCCATGTGTTTGCTTATGTAGATACTTAAATAGCATACCTGGCTTGGGTTCATTTGACTTAAATACAAAATGAAAATCTTTTCTAAAGCTGCTAGAAGTAGGCAACAATTTACCAATATATGAATGAGCAATCCACAGCAAGAGAGAGAAGATATTCCCTGAATGCTGAATGTTGTAATTGCGTTTAGGATAATACCAAAGGAGAGAATAAATATTTTTCAAATTGAGAAACAGAAACTTTTTCTCTGTTTTTTGAAGCGTAGAGAGAGGTGGAATTTTAGCCGTGAGGTGGAGTCAGGATAGAGGCCGATGGAAGTCAGTTATAGCATCCTTTACATAGGAGATGGAAATTTCCTATTTAAAAATAAAGGCAACTTTCTCCATGCAAATCCTGTCATGAGCAGAGAAATTATTGCAAGAATGAGGCATATTGTGGAAGAGATGCTTTTGATAGGGTTTGCAAAAATAGAAAAATAATTTTTTATCATCGTATTTGCCTGTGATAGCTTTGTATAATCATGATAGAGTACCAATAATGGGAATTTGAATTCAAATTCCTGATACAATCCCCCATGAGAAAATAAAACTGATGGTGCTTGGCCTGTGGCTAAATAAACCCCCTAATGTTTACTCAGGAAATTTATGAGCAGAGTTAAGTTCAGCCTTCTTGCTGGCCAAAGATGCATGTTAAAAAGATGAAAAGGAGAAACAGGAACATGTGATAGAGACTTCTTTTATTTCTGTGACACCCATGTGGCTTCTGTCACTGGCAGTAGCTTGCCATCTTCTGGTCTTCTTACATGAGGCAGCAAGCAGCTTTGTTTCTGTTGTGCAGTCAGAAATGCAGATACAAGGAGACATAGTCTCTACACTGAGATGATACTGTGAGCTAGCCAAGAATATGAATTTACAGCATCTCTGTTCCCTATGCAGTTTTTTGGGTACAAGTAGTATTCTGTCCTCACTTCATGTCAGGTAGGTATGAGGTAGGCCATTCCACATTCCAAATGTCCATGCAAGAAAATAATGCCAAAAAGCTAATGGTGGAGAAAATTCATTTGCAGTTACCTACCTTTTTTCCATGAAAACAAGATCTTTATAATTTCATTTTTAGAAGATTAACTAAGCCCATTTTATAGAAGAACTTTTTTGATCACATATCAGTGGCTTATAATTAAGAATTGCATTGATTATCCTTAGAGGACACAATTAGGTACAGCCTAGGGATGATTTCAGTTCCTGTGCTTTGGCATATAGGAATCAGACTGTAGAAATATTGAAGCACTGCCTTCATGTGCCTTTATAGATTTGTCAATTGATGAACGTTAATGAATTCATTGCTTTAAAAAATAAAAATGTGAACATGGAAAATTGTAAAGTGGCTAAGGAAATTAATTGTCAGCAAGAAGATATTTTTGATACAGTGTTCAACATCTAAACCTGGTAAATCTGCTTTTTTCAGAAATGTCTGCAATGTAATTTCATAACTGCTTTTTAGAAAAGTTAATTCTATATCTATGTTTTTAATTTGTAGGTACATTGAAACCTTGAAGGAGCACAAACCAAAAATCGTCTGGGATGAACAAATTGCTGAACACTACTTTGAATACAAAAAGTGAGTTACATTTATTAACTTACCGTGCTGCAAATATTTTCGGGCATGGCCCAGTACACAATGAATTACCAGTTAACTGTAGTATGCAACTGAATTCAGCAAATGGAAATTCTGCTGTTTATGATGTGTATGTCAACACTGAACTGCAGCATAAAAAAGTGCTTCAGGCGAGAGAAGTAAATCAGAGAAGGATTAATGAAATAACATAAGCTAAAACAATCCTTAGAAGAGAATTCTGATGAGTGATATCGTTGGAAGTTATCCATCAAAGTTACCTGCTCCATGTCAGTTAATCAGAGGCTCGGAGATTAATTCTGTGAGCTGTTGGCTGATTACCAATAACTCGGCCAAAATAGTTCTAAGAAAAATCTGTGGTACAAAACCCTGATTTTACAAGTCCTAGTGATAAGATTGGTCAGGCAACAGACTTCCACTAATTGGAATGTACCGTAGAGAAATGTAATGAGAATATGAAGTGTCTTCCAGATAACGTTTTTAAAAGCACTGAGAGCATGAAGGTAAGGGTAATAACTTTCTCCGTCCTTCCTTTTTCACCGTGAAATGACAAAAGGATTCCTGATGCTAGGAAAAATCCGTTTAAAACAGATTTAAAAAAAAAACCAGCAACATCTTGTTAAGCCTGAGTGATAATTCACTACTTTTGTATGCAAATACAAAAATTTGGTAAAATTTTACAAACAAAATCCAACTACCTCTACAACATCTTGTATATTACTCAGTGCATCGATAATGTGAAGACACATCACTGAAAACAACAGTAAAACACATTTTACAGTGCTTTAAGAAAAAAAAATCAGAACTACATTGTTATTTCCAAAATACTTTCTTCCTTTAAATATTTTTACATGTAAAGAATCACCCAAACCTAAAAATGTGCTACTTTTATATTTTTAGTTTCATTTTCAAGGTTTCTCTCAGCCTGTAATTTTCTTCTAACTTGTCAGCAACATGTATTTCTCATCAGAAAAAAAGGAAGACCGTGTTGGTCAGCAGTGTTTTAATTTATTTTCTGTTTGTATGAAAGGACTGGCATCTGTTTGCCTTCATATTTAGTTCTTTGGTATCCGGTTGCAAAATCACGTTGTGCCAAACAGTTACAAGGTTTTTCATGTTAACTAAAGAGGAATAAATCAGAAGCTGTGTTTTACTGAACTTTAATGTATAATCCAATTGGAGACACACTGACCACTGGACAATGACTTGCTCTCAAAAGAGTAAATCTGAGGGCTCTGTTCAAATGGCATGCCTCTGGGATTTGTTTCTGAAAAACATTTCCTAAACATCTTGCAAACTGAACATGTGGGAAAGGCATAGCTTGTCAGTAGTACTACATCATTTGCCATGCAGAATCACAGAATCACAGAATAGTAGGGATTGGAAGGGACCTTTGTGGAGGTCCGAAACAGGGTCACCTACAGCAGGCTGCACAGGAACTTGTCCAGGCAGGTCTTGAATATCTCCAGAGAAGGAGACTCCACAACCTCCCTGGGCAGCCTGTTCCAGTGCTCCGTCACCCTCAGAGGGAAGAAGTTCTTCCTCATGTTCAGACGGAACTTCCTGTGCCTCAGTTTGTGCCCATTGCCCCTTGTCCTGTCACTGGGCACCACTGAAAAGAGCTTGGCCCCATCCTCCTGACACCCACCCTTCAGATATTTATAAGCATTTATTAGGTCCCCTCTCAGCCTTCTCTTCTTCAGGCT